ACTGCCGGGAAGGGCCGGCGGTGGTGGGCGTAGTGGTCGGCGAGGGCCGGATCCGGCGAGGCGAGACCTCGTCGTCGCGACCCAGGCGACGACGAGGTCCCACCTCGCCCGGCGAAGCGAGGCCAACCTCGCCGTCGCCTGGGTCGCGACGGCGAGGCGTGGCCTCGCCTTCGCCGGCGAGCGAGGGTCACCGGGGTTCGGCGAGGGTCGCCGGGCCCGGCGAAGGGCCGGCGACCCTCGCCGACCAGCGCCCACCACCGCCGGCCCTTCCCGGCGGTGGTGGCTAGCGGCGGCCGGCGGCGAGGAGCCCTCGCCGCTGCCGCAACCTTTTTTGTTATTATAATAATAATAATAATAATATTATTATTATTATTATTTTAATTATTATTGTTTTTCTAAAAATTAAAATATTCGAAAAAAAGCCACGTAATTTCCACGTGTACAAGTCAGACCATTTTTTTTAATATAAATGTCAGGTCAGCTTTTTGGCCGGAATTTTGGCCGGAGTTACTAAAGTGATCTATTTTCCTTCGACTTGGCACCAAAGTGATCCGAAAAAAAGTTATGGCACCAAAGTGATCGCCGTACACAAGTTATGGCACTTGTGGTGTACTCTTGCCTAATTTCTTCTCTATTTATGGTCCTTGATCGGAGGACATTTGTGATATAGAATTAGAAGAAGATCCAGATCTTCTTAATAAATTCATCGCAAGAGACTACTTTGTTCTTTAACATATGCTAACCAATGGTCTCACTATCTCAACAGGTTTTACTGCCGGGACCACACCTAACACACAAAGAACATAAGAAAGATCTCCACGAAAGAAATCGCCTCAACTGTCAGATGAATTTTAGTAAGAGTCACTATATCTTCCCTCTTGGCTCTGATACCATAAGAGTCACCTAGGGTCTAGGGACTATAAGTAGAGAAGAATGAAACTATTCTGTTCGTCTTCTTTTGAAGAAAGTGGATGAATATGAATCAGAACAAGAGTTCTGATAGAGTTCTATGGTTTGTTTTAAATTATCAATAAAATCAATAAAATTATTATTAGTTTCGATATCTAAATAAAAGAGATTTATGGTCGCGAATAAAATAAAACTAAATAAAAGAGCGAGCATTAAGAGAAAATGGTAAAACAATAAGAAGAAATAAGGATATATAAAATATAAATATATAAATATATAAATATATATATATATATATATATATATATATATATATATATATATATATATATTGCGCTTATTAGATACAACTTCCGTTTGCTGCGTGTATCAACGGATTAAGGTTTCATTCCAAGAAATTTGTTCTATGAGCTTCTTCCATTTCTCCCTTCAATGTCTCCATAAAGAAGATTTTGGTCTCATGGAATGCTATTGCGCTTATTAGATACAACATCTGTCTGCTGCGTGTATCAACGAATTAAGGTTTCGTTCCCAGAAATTTGTTCTGTGAGCTTCTCCCATTTCTCTCTTCAATGTCTCCATAAAGAAGATTTTGGTCTCATGGAAGCATTGCGACTTCTTGTGTGTCGTTCGTCTCCATCTCAATGAATGCGCAATAGACCTCGAGCCAGAGAAAGCAGCACGCGAAGTCACAGAGAAGAAGGGAGAGCTTCAAATTTTGCATTCAATGAAGAAGATTTTGGTCTCGCATTGGAAGCATTGTGACCTGTTGTGTCGTTTTTGTCTCCGTCTCACGATTAATGCAAACAATAGATGGGCATATAATATTCGAATTGAAATAGATTACGATTTCAATTTATGTTGTAACTATAGTGGAACTAGTAGAAATTAAGAGAAACCCCACGGGCTAACAAAGACAGTATTAGAGTTCATAGATTAATTTGGAAGGTAAGCTTTTGTCCAAAGTGAAACCTGAAACCGTTTTAGCCAAATGGAAAATGAAAATTGAGGTAAACTTTTTTAATGAGAATTTTATTTTTTTTGGTTGTTCTATAAAATATTCTAGGAAATTAGAAACGACATTAAATGTTGAGGTTTTTTTTACTTCTTCTTCTTCTTTTTTTTCCTTTTGTGCAACTTGGTAATCGTCCTCTCCCCTTGGCATTCATCTATATTTACATCTTGGAATGTTCATGAGTTCGTAATTTGACTAAATCACTAATTCCTTGAGTGAATACCGCAGATTGCATTTCCTAGCTCGGAGACTTTAGCAATTGGAGACTAAAAGCCATCATTAACTTTGAAGGAGGAATTTCCACAAGAGGACTAGTCTTTCACCTTTTCAACTTAGAAAAATGAATCATTGGCAAGTCTCAGCAAGAGTAATATGTAAGGGCGATGATTACACTGATTACTTATTAATGCTTAAGATATCACAACTACTCGGCATGAAAGTAAGTGGGTCATATTCAAACATTCAATGACAATCTTACGCGTAACTTTGCAAATCAATTCTATTGATTTCAGTCTCAATAGCTATACACATCTTAACATAGATATAGCGAAAATTACCTAAAAAGTCCTAAATCTTTTGCAGTTGTGCCAATTCAGTCCTAAACTTTTTGCAATTGTGCCAATTTAGTCCATCCAGCCACTTTTGGCTAGCTAGCACTGACGTGGCCGCCAGCCGGCTAACGTGACAATATTTTAATAAATTTTTTTTTTATTTTTTTTCAATTTTTTATTTTTATTTTTTTCCTTTCTCTTTTTTTTTTCTTTCCTTCTTCCCCCTGGCCGAACCAGCCAGGGGGAGGCTCGCCGGCGAGGTGACCTCGCCGGCCATTGGGGAGGCGCCATCACTGAGTGAGCCTCACCCAGCTCCGGCGAGGGCGGAGCTCGCCATGGCTGGGCGAGGTTGAGCTCGCCCAGATCTGAGCTCGCCGTCACTGGGTGAGCTCGAGCTCGCCCGACCATGGCGAGGCTCAACCTCGCCCGGCGACAGCAAGGTCTCGCCAGATCTAGGCGAGCCTCACCGTCGCCTGGCGAGGTCGAGCCTCACCGTCGCCTAGCGAGGTCGAGCCTCGCCATGGCGGGGCGAGCTTGCCAGCGACGGCGAGGCTCAACCTCGCTTGGGGACGGCGAGCTCAGATCTGGGCGAACTTGGCCGTAGCCGGGCAAGGTCGAGCCTCGCCGTCGCCGGGTGAGCTTGCCCGGCCACGGCGAGGCTCTACCTTGCCCCACGATAGCGAGACTCGCTGGCCACAGCCTCTCCCCGGACCAGTGACCAAGGAAGATAGAAAAAAAAAAAAGAAAGAGAAATTTTTTTTAAAAAAAAATAATAATTAAAATATTGCCACGTCAACCGGTCGGCGGCCACATCAGCGCCGGCCGGCCAAACGTGCCCGGATGGACTAAATTGGCACAATTGCAAAAGGTTTAGGACTTTTTAGATAATTTTCCCCATAGATATAAGTGGGTCATATTTAAACATTCGATAAAAATCTTGCACTTCACTTTGCAAATCAATTCTATAAATTTGAGTCTCCGTATCTCTAATGCTACATACAAGTCTTAGCATCTCCAACATTATTGTTGATACAATTTCGATCAACAACCGCATTGTCCCCCTTCTTAATGAGCTTCCTTCAGCATTCATTTGTTTTTTGGACTTTTCGTCCCATAAATGAATGTCATCTCCAATTAAATGCTCCTATAAAGCCGCAGAACTACCTAAGGTTGGGATGTTACAACTCACTAAACAACTCTCCTCAAGGGATGATTTCTCGTCTCTGGAGAGAAGATGTACGGCGCCGGCGAAGTTTTACACCGGCGACACCTCATTTCTTCAAGATCATACTCTCTCAGACACTTCAAACTGGAAGGCTTGTAAGTTACTTTTCTTGAAAATTCTTTTCGATGTACCAAGGCTTGGAAGGCTGAAGCGTACTGCACACAAGCGTTTTCCTTCGAGTCAGTTCATGTTAAGATACATCCGGCACTGCTTGTTTACGTATTAATGATAACTTCATATGTTAAAAAAAATTAGGGTATTCCAAAGAAATTTGTGAGAAAGTATGGCAAGAATCTTCCCAAAACGGTGCGTTTGTGGGTTCCAAACAGTGGAATTTGGAGGGTGGAGTTGAAAAAATGGGATGATATGGTTTGGCTATCAAAGGGAGGGAACGAATTTGCTGAGCATTACTCTATTTGTGAGGACCACTTTTTAGTCTTCAAATACGTAGGGCACTAGAAAATTGTCAAAAAAGTCCTAAACCTATTGTACGGCGGCCAATTTAGTCCTAAACCTTTTAAGTTTGCCAATTCAGTCCTAAACCTTTTTAATTCTTGCCAATTCAGTTCTTCCAGCCAATTTTGGCCGGCCGGTGCCAGCCGTCCGGCCAATGCTAACGTGGCAATTTTTTATTATTTTTTTAATCTTTTTTTCTTTTTTTTCTTTTTTTTTCTTTTTTTTTCTGCTTTCTACCCTCTGGCCGGCCGCCGGACCGACCAGAGGGTAGAAAGCAGAAAAAAAAAAAAAAAAAAAAAAGAAAAAAAAATTAAAAAAATAATAAAAAAATTGCCACGTCAGCGTTGGCAGGACGGCTGGCGCCAGCTGGCGGCCATGTCAGCGCTGGCCGGCCAACATTGGCCGGAAGGACTAAATTGGCAAGAATTAAAAAGGTTTAGGACTGAATTGGCAAGAATTAAAAAGGTTTAGGACTGAATTAGCAAACTTAAAAGGTTTAGGACTGAATTGGCCGCCGTACAATAGGTTCAGGACTTTTTTGACAATTTTCCCGTGTGCTCGGATTTTCACGTGCTCATATTAGACAAGAGTGGCGTCAGAGATAGATTATCCACTAATGATTGCCAACAGCAAGCGCCGTCGAATTTGTCCTGCCTAAATTTGTCCTGCCTAAAGTGGGAGATGCTTTCGATCAAAAAAAAAAAGTCGGAGATGCTGATGACCACTGTAATCTCTCGGTTGGACTTCAAAGTCTAGATGGTTTCTCGCTGAAGAGAAAAGAGAAGGATGAATTGCATCTAAAACCATATCATCACAAGCCTTCCAAGGTGATGAAATCTGAACTCGTTGATGATGCTACTATTTCACGTGCAATTGTACTCGGATTGGGTTTCAAATCGGAAGGCTTCCAAATTGATCGAGGAGCAAAGCTTCTGCCACAAGATTCAGAAGGTTTGTGAATCTTAGCCTATAAGTAAAGCATACGCTTTGTATCATTTTTTCTTATGCTCTTTTCCTGACTGATTCAGGTAGGATTGAAAATTCCAAACACAAGGTGAGCCCTGCCATGCTGGCTTCTTGTAGTTCTACTTCTAAACGTTCGCAGGTAACTACAGCTCTCAAAGCAGCCAACAAGTACCAGCTGTAGTATCCTTCATTCACAGTAGTTATCCGGTCGCATAATCTATTGAAGTGACATGCGGTAAGAAAAGATCTCGAGCTAATAGTTCTCATTTGCAAAATTTGGACAGGAATGAGATCTATTACCTTCTACTAAGGTACCATCATATTCCTATATGATTCGGGTTTGCCTACGAGATTATACACATGTAGTCTGGTTAACATTTCTTGTGTTAGTTATCACACCTTTTATGTTCTTACTCATATATCATTAGTTGATCAAAAATCAATTCCGCAGACTGTCCCAAGCAGGATTTTAAAGGGACACGTCAATGGAGGAATGCAAACCGCATCTCTTAGATATTTGGATGGATCATGGCCAGTGAAGCTCATGTACTACCCACAACATGGCCAGGGAAAGCTCTCTGCCGGTTGGGCTGCATTTCAGAGAGGAACTTCTCAGAAGGAAGGAGTTGTCCATGCGTTTGAGCTTGCAAGAATTGATAATATTGAACTCGAAGTCTGCATTTTCAAAAGGAACGCCAAGTCTTGGGTGTAAACTTCGGTTTGTCTACAGAAAAATTTTTGCTTCACTATATTTTGTTTTTTGTTAGTCAGATGAAAGAAAGAAAGACTTTTTGCTGCAAGTAATTGAATGGTGATGTATTTCCTGATGTTTTTTCGGAGAGTAGTGAACATTACACCTGGATATTGCATCTTCCAAAATTCCGGGTACGTGTGTACTCAATTTCCAACCTCTTTGCATATTGCGTCTTTATTCGACAAAGTATCAATTGAACTCATGCACAGCATGGGATCGATAAAATAAAAGGTCAAAAGAAATCCTCATCCATTGCCCTAATGGACAGTTGATCTATAACAAAGACTTTAGTAAATTCCTTGAAGTAATTTCTTTTATCATTGAGGTGGTCACAGAAAAGGAAAGAATGAATGTCCTGCACTAACTCTGTTGTGTTGAACCATGCAATGGTCTCTAGATGTCAATACACATAGATTCCAACGAAAGTCGAATTAAGGATAAATCTTGCGAGCCATTAATTACACAAGAGGAAGTTTCAGTAAGAGGGCTAGTCTTTCACCTTTCCTCCTTACAAAATGGATGAACGACATCAATAGAACAAGAATGAATCTTAGTAATTATAACACTGAATCACCATAAAATTTCTAGAACTTGTGGTCAGCGGGTAGTTCTTGACCAGATTAGGTAATGACACCATTCATCAGTGAACTTGCTTGTATCCCCCCAGATAAATCATTAGCAGTCAAACTATCCAGCGGCTCCTATGAGTCAGACACAGCCGGATCACAACAAACAGTACTGCTCAGCTTGCCCTTTTTGCTTATGAGATTGCTGAAGCGGCCGTTGAATTCCACACCAGAGATCTGCCCCATCTTGGACCAGTTTGTCTCCAAGTATCTCTTGTTCTCTTTTGTTGTTGGAGTCACTGAAGGGACTCTCCTAGCAATAGTCAAGACATAACCTTCAAGCCCCACATACTTTGACGGTTGTTCGCCATCAGCTTCATCGTCCTGATTCCCAGGACACGCAACATCTGCAGTATAAGTCAATATGTGAAGCACTAAAACAAATGCGTCAAATACCATGAAAAGTCTGATAATGGAGTGATTCTTTAAACTAGCTATATCCCATCCATTTGAGATGAGAATTTGAAGCTCTGCTTTGTCATCAGCTTCCTCTAGTAGTCCTACAGACAATGTATAATCTCTGAAACAATTATTGAAATTCAATCACCTTTGATTTCAGATTAATGACATTAGTTTATTAATCCCTCTTCATTCCACAAAGCATAATGACAATGGCCATGAATCAACCCCATTAAGAATGCAGGACCTCTCCCACAGGTATAGTTTCCGACTTGAGGAAGAAATACCTGAGCAACAGTGCCATAGTCTCTAGAGTCAATGGGCAATCCGAGCTCCACGGGGTTGCGCCCTTCGTCCATAGGCACTTAGTTTGTGCTCCAAACCTATGCCTCTTCCTTCGTGCCCTCGGAGGTACACCAGCATGCCCCTACCAGCCGCTTCAATCTGTTGCATTGGCAAGTGCAACCTCATTACCGCAGTTGCATCTAGCAGATCCAAATATGTCTCCTGTGAGGCATTCCAAGTGTACCCTTGCAAGGACATCTTGACCATCTCCATTGTCACCCTGTTCAGACGACAAACTATGAAGTATGAATCACATGATGGGAAATATTGCTGTCTGAAGGGAGGACACAAAATAAGAAAAACTAAGGATGCCATTATTAATCAAAAGTGCGGCATTCCTATATCAATTGTAGACACATACAGGCCCCTTTTCAATCATTTCATAAACTACAATTATTTCATAAATGCATTGGGGGTAGCATGCAGCCCATTAGTTCACTAATATCATGACAATTATTTCTCCTGATGTCAAAAATTCTAGTCCAGACAACATCGTCATGCAAGTGAGATAAATTTGGTACTCCAAATTATGATTGACACGTGATTAGACATTTTCTCTAAGATAAATTTAGTGAAGTTCTACCTATAAGATTCCATCCATTTCTCAGTGGTGCAACTATTCACCTCTAAAGCTTGACAGCCAGTTCAAGTAAAATTATTGTCAAACAAAATCATGCACTGGAAGTACATAAGATGAAGCAAAAATTAAAGTTGAGTTGAAAAATGCACTGCCACAAACAAGATTCTCAAAAATTACAATTAATCCATTTGAAACTATTTGTTTATTAGTTTCTGAATTCTAAGGAACGGTTTGAGCTATCAACTTATAATATATCTCACCTTGACCATTGCAGTGTGCTCAATTTCATCTATTACAGATCTATAGCAATGGCTGTGAATGGTCCCCACATTGTTGGCAATCTTGCAGCAGCAGATGCAACACATTCAACTAATTTATCTCTTTTCCAGCAGTATATATTTATGTATTTAATCAGTAGGAGCTTCTCACTATACAAGTTGCACTATACCAGACAAGTTAAGCGCTTTTTTGTCAATTAGGAAGTTCTATTTTTATAGGCAAAATGACACTATAAGTGCCATAACTTGTGTACGGAGATCACTTTGGTGCCATAACTTTTTTTCGGATTACTTTGGTGCCAAGTCGGAGGAAAAACAATCACTTAAGTGTCACAAGTTTTGTTTGGATCACTTCAGTGCTAAAATTTTTGAAAAACGATCACTTAAGTGCTAAATTTTTTTAAAAACGATCATTTAAGTGCTAAAATTTTTGAAAAACGATCACTTAAGTGCCAATCTCCGGCGAGCCACGTCAGCTTCAGAAATTAATAAAAAAAATGCCACGTCAGATTTCCGGCGAAAAATTGTGTACGGCACCGGAGTTGGCACTTAAGTGATCGTTTTTCAAAAATTTTAGCACTAAAGTGATCCAAAAAAAACTTATGGCATCAAAGTGAGCGCCGTACATAAGTTATGGCACTTGTAGTGTTCTTTTGCCTATTTTTATATACACCTCAAGCTCTACCTCAGTGAACAGTCCACTGACATTCAGACATAGGTTTTGAAACAAGGTAAACACAAGGAAGTGTCCATAGAAATAACTGCCGTCACGGGCTCATAGATATGACTTGACAAGAATCCTGGTCAGTTGTAACCAATCTCTAAAAGTTAAACATCGAGTAAGAGATGAACCACAAATACTAACCTAACAACACCATACACATAAAAAATTGCGAGAAACAACTCTTCAGGACCCAAAACCATTTATCTGCATGAGCGGAATAACAAACCGCAAGATTAAGCATTAAAGAAACTCGAGAAGTGGATAGACCAAAATAGCTTATGCTTCACTCCTTTTTGCTACGTAAAACAACAGCCCATCAGCCTCCTTTAAGAGACTCTTTTTCCCACCGCACCAAGGGTTCCAAGGCTTCAACTCCTGATGTATCCACTCCCAAAAAGGGGAGATGCTACTTAGACAACGTCTTTGGCCAAAAGCGCCAATACTTAAGAAGTGAAAGTTGCAGCTGAAATTTGGATTGGATCAGGAAGTACTTGCCCCGAAAAGTATTTGCATTGGATTGCTGAGAAGAGAATGCTTACCTGATTAGACCAGCAATAGATTCAATTTTTCAAGTTCTCCCGCTGTGCAAACTCGCGAAGCTTTGGTAATCTTGCCATGGAGCCATCATCATCCGCTTCCCCACTGAGAACTGCCACAGGTTCCAATCCAGCCAATACAGCAAGGTAGACAGAAGCCTCTGTATGCCCAGCTCTTTTCAGGACACCACCCTCCCTGTACTTCGATGGAAAATAAGTCCTGGCCTGCTGAAATATTCAGGTTTAGAATCTCTAGATGCAGGAGCCCAAGCTGTCATTGCCCTGTCAAGCACTGATACGCCTGTAGTTATCCCATGCTTTGCATCCTATAACAATATCTAATTAATTATCATCGATTACAAGATACGAGAAGAGCCGATTGAAGAAACTATTTAAGCATCTTACAACATATAACACAGTCATACAAGGAACTCAGCATTGAATTGGAAGCAGGGATACAAAGATATAAGGATAGTTATCATACAAGGAACTCAGTATCCTCTCTATTCTAAGGGTCCCAAAATCAAATGTGTTAAAAGACGACTAATGCAGCATGTGGCATATCAACCGGTTCAGATTCTCATATTATCAGTTTTACACGAAATAAACACAATCATCGACCTTAATATCTCAAAGTCTTGTCTGGCACAAATGGCCAGACCACTGGCAGACGGGAGTGGTTCTTTTTCCCATGTGAAAAACATGTAGCTTTAACTAGTATTATTTCCACCACAGCTGACAAAACGACAAAAGGACCCAAATACAGAAGAAAAGACATGCATATACAAAATCATGCTCCGATTATTTTTACAAACAATCCAAGGCGCACTTGAAAAGTCAAATGACGTCTGCATGAACATTCCATCAGCAGATAAAACCACTTCAACCTAGAAACAAACGGTAGGTACTAAAGCACGAAAGAAAGAGCTGGACTTGGCTTGGGCCAGTAACCAATTCAAGAAAACAATTCTTGCTCGTTTGTTTTAGAAAATCATGAAGTGTGAAGAAGAAAAGGCTGTAAACAAGAAGTTCCATCAACGAGATGACAGGTGCAACTTGCAGAAGAAAATACATGAAAGAGGAAAACCATTTCGCCAAAGCTGTCGAAACATATTCAATATAGATAATTGAGACCCTCTGAAGGTCTCCAAAAACATTTCCTATCACCAAAGGAAGGTATCTGCGATGCCTTAAACACAAAGATTTCATCAGCGAAAGAGAGCGTTTGACAGAGACTAGACTCAAAACCTTTGGAATAGAGGAAACAGGCACGTGGATGTAAATGCACCGATTGACATTAGATGATTGTCCTATATTTGAGCTCCCTTTCGTTTGTTTCCTTGATCTCTTCTTGTACTCAGGTTTGGACCCCCTTGGTGCCTTGAAGTTAAATTAAATTCACCAGAAAAAATCTAGTTTTTCCCTGATATCCTATTTAATGGCAAGAAAAAGAAAACCCGAATACCATATCAATTCACTCCCAAGTATCTCGTTTCCTTGAGTTGCTAATACTCACAAGTTGTCTAAGCACAGTCAGCAATTTAATTAGTATTAATATTCAGAAAAAAAAACAATTTAAACTGTATTATAAGATAAAGCAATTAAAGCTACAAAGCAATTACATACCTTTTGCAAAGGACCTTCATCAGCCACGTGATCTTCCCATGTAGCAGAACTATCCAGCTGATGCAATACAGCATTGGGAAACCAAAATAAGAAGTTTATGACAACCAAAAAAAAACTGTGAAGATAGAAAAGTAAACACATATAACTCCATATTTTTCGGCAGGGAAAGATTAGAATCTGCGACATTGTCATTCACCACCAAAAAACAAGTCCAGGGGTGATAGATTCGCAAGTGGATCGATTCAAGGCCACAAACTAGAATCACACGCCAGTTAGAAACCAGCCAACTTCTCTCTCTTCTTCTTTTTGTGTAAAAATTTCGAATCACGTTGTGTAATATGAAATCACGTCTTTTAAGCGTGAGAACTAATCTCTGTTGAGTGATCATGTGGATGTGTTTTCAGGTTGGATTGACCGAACCTTAGTAAGTAATTGCTAACTTTTATGAAGAAAGAAAACTGATTAAAAGCAGGGTCAACCGTGGAACTGTCCTATTGAGACCAGGGACCTGTTCCCTGTAAGCATAACACCGGTTCCAGCCTATTCTCAAGTTAAATCAAACTAGTTGCACACCCTTATCTGAGTTTTCAATGTCCAATGCAAAATTACCGAACAAAAGTACGATAAATAGAAGAATACACTCGGCCAATCCACAGCTACACAATGGAAGGACCAGAAATAACATATTACAAGTTCTAACCATAACTCTAGTATCGCATTCAAAAGAAGTGACAAATTTGGTACCGTCATTTCCTTGAAATCAAATTAATAAGTCATAAAAGATGGAAGTTGGACAGGAAAATGCAATAAGCAGCGCAAAACAAATGCAAATGGAATTTCATCCCGCAAAAACAAGCAGCATAACCTCCATTATTCACTTACCAGCTGAAGTACCATCGAGATGCTCATGTGCAGGTGCTCCCAGTTTGAAAGGTTATCGGCAGTCCAAGTAGCTGCCTACCTTTGGCTACCAACCAATCCAGCTCTAGTTAGGGAAAAAGGATGCTTGTTTTCATTAGCATGCCCTCATACATAGATCAACCCATCAGCATTCCATAAACCTGTAACGGGGACGGTAACACTGAGTTACCAGATTTTTGGCGCTAATATACTTATCTGTCGCTAATCATTTCTCAGTACAAAAAATAGTCACCTCTGCTATTGAGCTGGGTTTTCTGGCGCTAATCATACTTTTGTCAAGACCGACTGGGGTAATACTCCCCCATGAATAGAAGAGATTTCCTTTCGCAGCTCATCAAGTTTACACTCCAAACTAGAGGTGGTGGGGCTGCGCTTAGTAGATTTGATATTGTCATTCATTCTCTTCTGATTGCTTAAAACCTCAAGCTTAATCATCATCTTTCCTGCGTGAAAATAAGCACTGTCAGTGTTAGAACACATCCATTCTCTCACACAAGCTGTTGGACCTACCACATAAGCATATCATTTGCGACCTTAAACATTCTAAAATAGAGCAACATGCAAATGTTCATGTGAAGGATTAACACAAAAGCTGGATGATTATTCAGCTCTAACAAAGGAGCAAAACTTATTAGTGGACAAATCGCTCGCTGTGAACCAGCATGAGAATAGTAGCCATGTCTGCCGTATGAACTCAAAAGATTCACAAACAGAGGAAGAGCAAAGGTGTCAACTGTCCGCCCTTATCTTCGGTCATAAGCCTCATAATAAAGTCCTCAAAATTACTTGATGGGAAAGCATTAGCTATTTCAAACTTTCTAAGAAATGTGAAGCAGCATTAGGTATGAACATGCGCTTCCTTCTCGAGTGTCCAAGTAGGGAGAGGTTTGACAATTGGACATTATTACCTTTGTTAAGATGGACAGCAAGACCCATATATAGATTAGTAAAGAATCAGATCAATGAAAAGGACATACCGAGACAATGTCATCAACTGGTAAGACATTGGAGGCCCAGACTAAAGCCTTGCTGGTAAGTTTAGCGTCGACAGTACCTTCTGAATTTTATTTTCCATCCTTGCCATTCTCGTCATCTACATTCTTTCTCTTATCTAAAACAAGCTTCCTCCGATATTATATCAATCTTATGCTCATCTGCCTTCTCACTTTAAAAGGATCATCGACCCCCACGCTGGTCGGATTTATTTTCTGCGTCGGCGCCACAGTTTTAACCTTATTCCATTTATTTGCTCTTTTCATGTAATACTTCCTTATTCGCTGCTCACCGCAGCCTCCGTCCTTTGCAGCTCCACATCATTTGCCGCCGCGGTCCTCCTCAACCTACCAAACAGCTGTCCGATCTCGTCCAACGTTTTCCCCCTCGTCTCGGGCATTAGGATATAAAATAGGACACAACTGACAATGGCGAACCCCCCGAACAAAAAGGCAGCCCCACCGAGCTTGATCGCCTTGAACATCAACAAGTACGTATATGATAATATTACGCTCACCCCCTGTTTAACGCCAAGGCCGATTGTGTAAACCTGCGCACGCATCCTCAATGGGATGATCTCCGTGCAATACACGTCCGTGATTGGTCCCAGCCCGATCGAGAAGAAGATGACGTAAAGAATCGCCGAGACTTCCACTGCCCACGAGACCTTCAAGGTGAGGAACAGTCCGACAAACATGAGCGACAAGAACACGCCGCCCATGCTGCTCAGCAACAGTGGCCGCCGCCCGACCCAATCAGCGAGGTAGCTGGCAAGGAGAAAGACCAATATCTTGGCTATGTCAAGCACCATATTTGCAAGAAGCTTCCCGACAGACGTGGTGATGCCAACAGTCTCCAAAACCTTTGGGCTAAAGAGCGCCAAGGTGTCCATGCCACATGCCTGTTGGACGACCTGGATTCCAACAGCACATAGTAGCATATGGACCATAGACCAGGTCGGGTGGAGTATATCTCGCCATACTCCGGTGTCCTGGTCGGCGATCGTGTAGACGTCGTCGTCGAACTCTTCAGGTATTCCGGCAGCCTTCTTGATGTCGGCAAACCGGAGCGCGGCCTCCTCCTCCGACCTGGAGGTCTTGGCGAGGATGCGCTTGGCGTCGCGCAAGCGACCTCGCATGACGAGCCACTGGGGAGATTCCGGCAAGGCAAAAATTCCAAAAACAAGCAGCACCGAGGGGACGGCTCCCGTGGCAAGCATCCAACGCCACCCGCGGCTGGGGCGGTGTTTGGAGAAGTAATAGCTGGTTAGATTGGCCACCTGGTTGCCAATGCTGATGAACATCCGAAATAAGTTCAAGACAAAAATTTAATGAGAAATAGAAAAAGTGATAAAGGAAGCTACAAAATTAAGAATAAAAGAAAGGAAAATGAATGAGTGAGCACCTGAGGGCAGGAGGCGTAGAAGCCGCGGGAGAAGAGAGGAGAAATCTCTGTCACGTACATGGGGGCAATCATGCTAGCGAAGCCGGCGCCCAAATTGGCAATGACTTGGCTGACCAAGAAAACTGCATAGTTCCGGGCAAAACCCATGACAAGGGGGCCAACGAAATACATAGCCCCCGCCATCACAATCGTATTGCGGCGGCCATACCGATCAGAAATCCATCTCGCCGTCACCAATCCAAACATCGTGGCGACGCTCATGGCCCCCGCCACAATATTAAGATGGAGATCGGATACTTTCAGGTCTATCTTCATGTACGCCACCGACCCGCTTATCGCTGCTGGTACTATCAAAATTTTAAAAAAATAAAATAATAAGAAAAATCTGATTCACCATACAATGTTTATAACTATATATATATATATATATATATATATGAGAAATTCAAAGAATAAAAATAAAAAAATCCCGTGAAGTTGTTTTGTTTTTTAACTTGCTTTTTTAACTTCAAAACTATTTTTCAAATGATTTTCACATACTTCACAAAATCAAACAAGAGAGAGAGAGGGGGGAGACCAACCATAAGCTAGCGAAAAGGAGGTTATGCAGGCGGCAAGGGTGTAGAGGCAGACATGCTTCTTGCAGACCGACCTTGCCGGAGGGTGGAAGTCCTCGATCGTTCCTTGTCTAGCAAAAAAAGGCATACCAGATTAATCTAGCTAGTAGTATTTAATAGTTGAAGAAAACCATATGGTCTAGCTATATATTTTCCGCTAAAATGCTAGGTAATAAATAATTAAGAGATAACAACCGTCAATACTCGTTTTATGAGAAATAATGAGCATGGATGTGAAAACGGACCTTATGTGCTGATCATCGTCGTTCTCATCCCTATTCGACTCTGTCTGAGACTGGTGGCTACCATCACTCGCTTCAATGTGCACTTCTTCTTCTATTTCGCTGACTCGAGCAGCAGGAGCCAACATATCTTCATCTTCGTCATCCTCTCCTCCTCCAAAGAGCCGTAATAAGAACGGCACAAAACTCTCATCTTCGCCAAATGGCTCTGACAGAGCCAACACATCTGCATCTTCGTCTTCCTCTCCTCCTCCAAAGAGCCGTAATAAGAACGGCACAAAACTCTCATCTTCGCCAAATGGCTCTGATAGACGGCAAAGGAAGACGGCGAAAACTAGTAACACTGTGAAACATATCAACACGACACTGTTCGAGATATTTATCACTTTTTATAAGATATTTTCTTATGTAAGAGATAATTATGAAATTTTATGTTGATTATTTGTATCTTTCATGATTGCACGCATGTTGCACGAATGTTGCACATGTGTTGCATGTATATCTCCCTTTGATTATACATTATCTTGATTGAGATATTATCTTAGAATAGTAATCTAATAAAACTTATAAATAGGCTAATGTATTCTTCGTTAATATAAACATAACAACATACACAAAATTTCACATTTCTCTCTTTCACATCTCTTCATTATTAATAATAGCTACGAATTACTATCTAAGAATTACCAAATGAGAAAAGTAAACATTAGGTATACGGAGGATATGAATTATGGACTATCAATCTCTTTAATGTTTTATGATCATGTACACCACTATTAAGCTTTTTTATGTACACATTGAAAAACAAGTTAGTCTCTCGTTGCGAAAAAGAAATTTTACTTGGCTCTTATTACCTGTAATCTTTCATGATTGCACACATGTTGCACGAATGTTGCACATGTGTTGAACGTATAGCTCCCTTTGATTATACATTATCTTGATTAAGATATTATCTTAGAATAGTAATCTAATAAAACTTATAAATAGGTTAATGTATTCTTCGTTAATATAAACATCACAATATACACAAAATTTCACATTTCTCTCTTTCACATCTCTTCATTATTAATAATAGCTACGAATTACTATCTAAGAATTACTAAATGAGAAAAGTAAACATTAGGTATACGGAGGATATGAATTATGGACTATCAATCTCTTTAATGTTTTATGATCATGTACACCACTATTAAGCTTTTTTATGTACACATTGAAAAACAAGTTAGTCTCTTGTTGCGAAAAAGAAATTTTACTTGGCTCTTATTAGCTGTAATCTTTCATGATTGCACGCATGTTGCATGAATGTTGCACATGTGTTGCACGTATATCTCCTTTTGATTATACATTATCTTGATTGAGATATTATCTTAGAATAGTAATCTAATAAAACTTATAAATAGGCTAATGTATTCTTCGTTAATATAAACATCACAATATACACAAAATTTCACATTTCTCTCTTTCACATCTCTTCATTATTAATAATAGCTACGAATTACTATCTAAGAATTACTAAATGAGAAAAGTAAACATTAGGTATACGGAGGATATGAATTATGGACTATCAATCTCTTTAATGTTTTATGATCATGTACACCACTATTAAGCTTTTTTATGTACACATTGAAAAACAAGTTAGTCTCTCGTTGCGAAAAAGAAATTTTACTTGGCTCTTATTAGCTGTAATCTTTCATGATTGCACGCATGTTGCACGAATGTTGCACATGTGTTGCACGTATATCTCCCTTTGATTATACATTATCTTGATTAAACCTGCGCACGCATCCTCAATGGGATGATCTCCGTGCAATACACGTCCGTGATTGGTCCTAGCCCGATCGAGAAGAAGATGACGTAAAGAATCGCCGAGACTTCCACTGCCCACGAGACCTTCAAGGTGAGGAACAGTCCGACAAACATGAGCGACAAGAACACGCCGCCCATGCTTGCTCGGCAACGGTGGCCGCCGCCCGACCCAATCGGCGAGGTAGGCGGCAAGGAGAAAGACCAATATCTTGGCTATGTCAAGCACCATATTTGCAAGAAGCTTCCCGACGGACGTGGTGATGCCAACTTGATCTCCAAAACCTTTGGGCTAAAGAGCGCCAAGGTGTCCATGCCACATGCCCGTTGGACGACACGGATTCCAACAGCACATAGTAGCATATGGACCATAGACCAGGTCGGGTGGAGTATATCTCGCCATACTCCGGTGTCCCGGTCGGCGATCGTGTAGACGTCGTCGTCGAACTCTTCGGGTATTCCGGCGGCCTTCTTGATGTCGGCAAACCGGAGCGCAGCCTCCTCCTCCGACCTGGAGGTCTTGGCGAGGATGCGCTTGGCATCGCGCAAGCGACCTCGCATGACGAGCCACTGGGGAGATTTCGGCAAGGCAAAAATTCCAAAAACAAGCAGCACCGAGGGGACGGCTTCCGTGTCAAGCATCCAACGCCACTCGCGGCTGGGGCGGTGTTTGGAGAAGTAATAGCTGGTCAGATTGGCCACCTGGTTGCCAATGCTGATGAACATCCGAAATAAGTTCAAGACAAAAATTTGATGAGAAATAGAAAAAGTGATAAAGGAAGCTACAAAATTAAGAATAAAAGAAAGGAAAATGAATGAGTGAGCACCGAGGGCGGGAGGCGTAGAAGCCGCGGGAGAAGAGAGGAGAAATCTACGTCACGTACATGGGGGCAATCATGCTAGCGAAGCCGGCGCCCAAATTGGCAATGACTTGGCCGACCAAGAAAACTGCATAGTTCCGGGCAAAACCCATGACAAGGGGGCCAACGAAATACATAGCCCCCGCCACCACAATCATATTGCGGCGGCCATACCGATCAGAAATCCATCTCGCCGTCACCAATCCAAACATCGTGGCGACGCTCATGGCCCCCGCCACAATATTAAGATGGAGATCAGATACTTTCAGGTCTATCTTCATGTACGCCACCGACCCGCTTATCGCTGCTTGTACTATCAAAATTTTAAAAAAATAAAATAATAAGAAAAATCTGATTCACCATACAATGTTTATAACTATATATATATATATATATATCAGAAATTCAAAGAATTAAAATAAAAAAATCCCGTGAAGTTGTTTTGTTTTTTAACTTGCTTTTTTAACTTCAAAATTATTTTTCAAATGATTTTCACATACTTCACAATATCAAACAAGAGAGAGAGAGAGAGGGGAGAGACCAACCATAAGCTAGCGAAAAGGAGGTTATGCAGGCGGCAAGGGTGTAGAGGCAGACATGCTTCTTGAACCTCATTGCAAAGCATAATTTTCGACGCTGTGAACCTCATTGCAAAGCATAATTTTCATCCTCAAGCATTAAATTCATTTTGCAAGCATGGCGATAAAATAATCCACTTTCGTGAACTCGAAATCCTTTCTTGAAAATAGTTATTTAAAAATCGTTTAGCTATACAATAAATTTTCATGGCAAAACATAGCATAAGCATCACAATTCAATCATAAAATCACAGCTTGACGTTAGAAATTATCCGAAAATATTAATATTTAATTTCGGAAATCCATTATTTAAATAATAAAATATTAATATTTAAATCGGAATTTATTTATTTAATAATAAAATAATACTAAATTCCGAAAATAATCAATCCAATCATTTAGCTAAATCCGCTAATTTATACGGTGAAATCCAACTTCGGAATCACCATCCAAACATAAACGATCACAATTCGGTATTAAAAATCATTCGAAATATTAATATATTAATTTTCAAAATTAACATATTGATTTATTGATTTTAATTATTTTTAATAATAAAATAATAATATTTAATTCCGAAATTTATTTATTTAATAATAAATAAATATTCCCTAGGGAATATTGTCCATATGAGTTTCATTAAGAAATTAAAAGAAAGAACATTACAGGTTGTAATGCTCATTAGACTCAATGGCTTCGCACCAACTCAACATTCTATTTCTGTAATACACTTTTGAGCGTAGGAGAGACTAGTATTCAACCCCCTTTAGCTGATTTGTTCTATACGTGTAAGATTAACTCCTTTTCAAACACCCAAATGGAATATGATTGCGGTTGACAACAAAATCAAGCACGACATAAAACGGTACGATCAAATTGTGGGGAGGGAGTACGTGGATAATTGTTTGTCTTGAGACGAAGTCTTTGATAGACGTTGTCTAGGACTTCCATATTCAGCTATCATACCGTAAGTTGCTAAGAAAGCAACGTTGAATGTAATATCTTCAGCTGATTTGCTTTATAAGTGGTAGATTAAGTCCTTTTCAAACACCCCAATGGATTATAATTGCAATTAATAGCAAAAACGAGCATGACATAAAAGGGAATGATCACATGGCGAGGTGGGAGTACGCGGACAATTGATTGTTTTGAGACCAAGTCTTTGATAGACGTTGTCGACGTCTTCTGTATTCAGACCATAAGTTGCTCAGAAAGCAACGTTAAATGTTGTATCTTTAGCTGATTTGCTTTGTAAGTGTTAGATTAAGTCCTTTCAAACACCCAAATGGATTACAATTGCAATTAATAGCAAAAACAAGCATGACATAAAAGGGAATGATCTCATGGCGAGGTGGGACTACGCGGATAATTGATTGTTTTGAGACTTAGTCTTTGATAGACGTTGTTGACGACTTCAATATTCAGCTATTATTCCTTATGTGCTAAGAAAGCAACATTAAATTGGAAGATTAATTAACGTAGGAACTAACCAGTTCAAAACCGTGAAGACGAAATGGAGAATATAATTTACCTATCCTAGAGTTTAAGACCAGTACACAGTTTGGCAAAACAAAGTACCAGCAACAAATTGGAAGAACGTGTAAAAAGTGGGAAAATAGGCTTCCCGAGTGCTTATATTAGAATGCACTAGTTGATGAATGTAGCATACAAGTTTCCCATGTCTGTCTAAACACTTCCCTTCTCTTCTTCAAGGTCTGGTGTCGTTATATGTTTAGAGTTGCACTGTTAGCTTGATAAGGCAAATTAATTACACTAAGAATATTCTCTATTTGCCACTATATGAATCTTATGGATTAAAAAAATTCTGAAACTCGATTAATTATGGCATATATTCATGGTGTCTGAAGACTTAAAAGCCGTCCCTTGTTGAAGGCCAAAGGCTAAGGCCGTGTTGTGGGATAGCATTTATCTCAGAGAGTTATCAGTACGTACCAGAACCCTATTTGGTGTATATGTATATTTTAAATAAAACAAGTCTGACATTATTGATTTTCGTGGAATCAGTGCCTGGAACCCGTTTTTTATGTTCGATTAGTGTTCACATTTGTCAAATGGTGTCTGAATCTGCGCGTTTTCTGTCATTTCTTTTGGTTTTATGACATATCTCTTGCCGTTCGAACCGGTCATGGATGGAACCTTCGCTGGAGATCTACTCCCCATGTCGGCGTCGCCCACGGTTTGAGGCCTCTACCATAGGCTTGCTATTTGTATTTTGAATGTGTATGTCCATGTGTCCGCGTTGTGGTACATCTTGTTGCCGGGAACATCTGGTTGTCGAAAGAAAGAAATGATCATCGAGGTTGGTGTTTTGGTGGTTGTTGGTGCTAGATTAAGGATGGTGATTCGGTGATAGTGGGATCATGGTTTTGGCCGGAGGAGATTCGACGTTGGCGCTGGACAAGGAGGCTAGTTTCGGCTCGGTGCGGCGGTTGCCGGTGAACCACCGAGAAGGAAACGTTCTCGGCGGAGAACACACGCAGAAGGGGAGTTCTGGGCAGAAAGGCACGAAGGAGGAGATGAAGCCCAGAAAAGCAAGAAAAAGAAACAAAAAGAGAAAAGAAAAAGAAAAAAAATAGAAAAAAAATATAGAAAAGAAATAGCAAAAGTGGGAGTCCCGGGCGGGTCGGAAACCCGGGTCGGCGGATCGGGTCAGGGGACCCGGTTCGGAATGTTTATTTTATTAATAAAAATTTTCAAATTTTAAATTTTTTTTTTAAAAATATATTAAAATATTAAAAAATTAGAAATTCCAAAAAATTCGAAAATTTTTAAAAATCCCAAAAAATTAATAAAATAAAATAAAAATATTAAAAAATTCAAAAAATTCAAAAATATTTAAAAATTTCAGAAAAATTCGGAAAAATTCCAAAAAAAAATCAGAAAATTAGGAAATGTTCAGAAATCAATTTGGGCTTAATTTCACTAGATTTTAGGTTAAAAAACTCAAAAAATAAAAAAATAAAAAATGAGAAAAGTCCTTTAATATATTCTCAAAAATCGGATAAGCTATTAGGGCTTTACCTTAGGGCTTTTGATTGCATTTTCTTTTTAGAAACGATGTTAGGTCACTGGTTGCTTATTTTCTTCATGATTATCTGGTTGCGCACTTTTAATACATTGACTGTTATTTTCTATTTTTAGAACGGTCAGATGAAATCTTAACTTTTGTGATAGGCTGCCCGGTACGTTAGTTTGCGAACCTTCAAGTTTAGGTACCGAAAGGGCACTAGTTAAATTGCTAGTGTATTCAAGTCCCTGAATTTTGAAATCTTTGATTTTCGCACATATCGAGACGATACTCCCGCATCTCGATCAGGGTTTCTAGCCGACCCCCGATCATGACTAATGACGACTACAATTGAATGCGTAATTTTTTTTTTAAATTCTCGTCGCGCGAGGTATGAGGCTTGGGAGTGTCTCGGTCTTTGGATTAATGAACCATTTTGTTTATCTTTCAAATGAATCAATCGCTGTTCACGTCCATCGACAAATACCTCTTGGCCTAAACCCGATCTCGATCATCAATCGTCGACGGGACAAGTAGGTCGCGAATAGGTGAAACGGGCATTTTGCTCCTCGATGTTCATCCTTACTACTCTCGAGCGTGTGCGAATAGGTGATTGCCACGAAGCCATAGTTTCGGGACCTAGTTCGTAAAATAAACGAGAAGATCGAAATTAGTACATAGTGAAGCGAGAGAATGGAAATGGCACACCTTTTAATTTTATATTTCCTTACGATGAAACTGAAATAAGAAACCTTTTACACAAGCCGCACCTCGTGTAAATAGTTTCTTAAGAATTTCATTGTAAGAAATTATACAATTAAAAGGGAGTAACACATAGTGATTGATTCAAATGCCCATGTCATGTTCCATTCGAACTACAAAAGAGGGAATTTCACTAATTACATCAAAATTTGTGAAAAGAAATCCCTATACAGTCGCTGAATAGTAAAAACATACCTAGACATTTGCTCTAAAAGTTCATGAAAACAAAAAGCGATATACATCAATTCCAAGATAATTAAAAGAACATCCTAAAAGAAACTAATGGAACATGACTAGTCTTGGATATAGGGCCTCTTCACAGCATGTTGCGGACGCGCTTGTAAGCTTTCTGCCAATGTTCTGCCTCAGCCAAAGCTTCATCCCTTTCTCTTATGATCTGCCCCATTTGAGTCTCCTTGGGGGTTGCAATCACGGGAAATTTCGGGATGGTGATGGCGAGCTCAGGCTCGACACGTCGTGCTATGTATTCCTTTGATGCATGGTGCTCCTTCATGGATCCATCCAAGTCCGTGGCTCTCTCCACGTCCTTCGGTTGGCAACAGTAGAGTATGTCGATGATCCTTTTCACCTCGTTGGTCAACTCCTCAAGTTGGTCTCTCTCGACAACCCCATTGCGAAAATCGAAACGAAATAAACCCGACTTTAGAGGAGGAGGGATTTCTTGAAGCATATAGAATTGACGGGCGACTCTTAAAGGATAATAAGAAGTCGATCCCGTCAAACCTAAGAGTGGAATTGGGTCACTATGGCCGCTTGTAAGACATACTTTGGGAAAATGAACCCAAAGGGCTTGCCAAACAACTTGTTTAGGTGTAAGGTTCTCGAGGAAGTCTACCCAATTACGAAAGGCCCAAGGACGAAGGAATTTTTCTATCTCTTTGAATTGGGTAAG